AAGCCTGAGGCCCAAAACAATTAAGGTAAGGTGCACCTTCAAACAGTGCTTGAAATATATTGTTTCAGAAAACATAATTCTTTATGATGGCCCACTATTTTATTTCAAATTTAAAGATTAAAAGATAATGTAGATCGAATAGATCAATGAACACTTAAAACTCTTGAAAATTGACAGTCTAGATAAAGATAATACATTACAAGATGCACTATTTCCAAGACATGAAATCTATTTTTTCTCATGTCGATACATCTTGAGGTCGAGATGATCAAAATTATGGTTTTTGAGGATCACAAGAAGCTCTTCTAGTGAATTTTTGAGGCGTGCCTTAATTTGCTTGTTTCGTGCCTCACCCTTATATAAACTTTATATATATATATATATACACTAGACTATAAGCATCTAATGTCGTCCCATCGCAGAGACGACATTAGATGGGCGGCCTTGCCCAACAACCAGCAATCCAAATAGTTACCTCTTTCCCTTTCAATCACCGATCGCTAAGCATCTCTCTTCCCATCCTATTCCTCTTATTCCCTTTCTAATGATGCTCAAGGAGACCACCTAGTTGGAAAGGTTCTTTGGTCAGTCGATGAAAGCCTATTTGGTTTGTATTGGCCTTTACTCCCTCGTTCGGTTCCATTGAAGGGTTATGCAATAGATGAAAGCGATCCAGCCTCAACCAGAAGCACAAACGAGACAGGAACATTTGCCCGATACACTCCTTTCCTCTCACCCTTTGTCACCTTGACTATTCCAGTACCTTTCCGAACCTATACTAAAACCAACCTGTCATCTTCTTTTATCACTCTTTTTCTAACCCCTCCAACAGTAAGACCTTTCCTTCTCTTTTGCCTCAACCTATTTAATCTGTAGTTCTTTTGCCTCAACCTATTTAATCAAACCCATCTAAACTTTTTATTGCCTGAGTTTAATAACTATCATTCCTAAGCCTTTCCTTTCCTTTGATCTAAAAGTTCTCGTTCCTTAATCACAGTCCGGCTGCCTAAACCTTACTTACCTCTTATATTTACCCCATTACTTACCTCATTTACCTCCATAGTGACTGAATCAGATTAGACTTACCCTTGACTTACCTAATCACAATGAATAAACAGCTACAGATAGACAAAGAGTGAATGGAGGAGGAGGACTGAGGCACTCGAATATAATGTCGTCCCATCGTAGTAATCTCGACTAATACAAATATTAGAGTTTGCAGTAATCTCATGAGAAGTGAGTCTCGGGCATCACACAAGCTGGGTGTTGCTTGTTTCCATATAGTTATTATCTACATGGATATTCTCTAAAAGGAAAGGTTTCTATGCTTCCCCTACAGCATAGAAGTTCTATCCTCCCCCTACCATCCATCCATCCAATTATGAAAAAGAAAGCCACTCACCGTTTGATCTTAGATCCAACGTCTCAAAGTATTTTATTTTTAGTTTTTTTTATACAAATTGTATGAGTATGAAATTTGGTATATCCATCTTCTCATTGGGGCGCACCTATTAAAAATATTAAAAATAATTTTTCAATAAACTACAATGACCAAATGCCCCTTGAAACTTTCAGGGGTATTTTGATCATTTTATTTTATTGAAATATTTTTTTATATTTTTTGCTAGTGCGAGTTTAATAGAGGAATGGACATCCAAATTTTGGAGTCAAAATAGTTTATAGAAAAAAATTTAAAAATAAAATAGTGTAGAGACGTGACATTGCGATTGGGGCAATCTTAGCCCTCCATTCAGAATGGAGGGTTGGATAAGGGGGAGGATAGAACTTCGATGCTTTATGGGAAGCATAGAAAGCTTGCCCTTTTCTAAAGGATACTAAATTTTGAAACAGCAGTTCGATTTTTATTATTATCATCAAGTCCAATAGAAAAATTAGATAAACCAAGTGTACAAATCATCAATTATTTTCAGGTATTCTTCATTTGTTTTGCCTAATTAATATAGCAAACACCCATGGAGAAGAGGTTTCCACTAGGGAAAAAAAAATAGTCTTAAACAATAATCCTCCAACATATTAAGTAGTGGGAATAGCCCACTAAGTCTATGAAAACTAGTTATTCCATCCATCATGAAGGGAAGGTTCCTATAGATTTTACTTATCAAAGGCCACTAAAAGTTTAAAAGAAATTTTCAACTACTTGGGTGAACATGCAGATGACTGGCCATGAAGAACAAATGGTGACATGAGTTCAACAATCAAGAGAGAAAAACAAAATGAAACCAAAGGCCCAACCCTTCGAGAAAACAAACAAAATAGTTAATTTTGTTTTTCAAACAACAGAACAGACATTAAATCATAATTGCAAATGTACTTTTCCTAATGAGTTAATAGTCCAAAATTCAAACACAGCACAGATAGTAAGACAGCTCAAAATCCTCAACATTCTTGTACGCCACTACACCTACTTCGTGAAAGATGTGGCTATGTGGATTTAAGACTATAATAAAAAACTTTTCTTCTTATCTTTGTTACTGAATCTAGATTCCACTTACAAGTGCCACAAAATATTGTTTAAACGAAAATTAAAACCCTCAATACGACCCAGGACCATTCCTTCTACTGCCAAGATAAATAAACAAAATCAAGAAATAAAAACCAATCTTCCACTAACAATTTAAGTACAGCTAATGTTTCTGGAAAATCGAAGTAAATATGGAAATATGACTGAAAATAAAAGTAAACAGCCAAGAAAACTTACTCGGTTGTTCCTAGGGTTAACCCCACAGAACTGGGTACAACCTACACTCGATTTACTAACAAATAGTGCACTTCTGATCCTATTGGCCTTGGTAAAATTTCAAAGCCGGAAAGCTTGCTAAGGTAATACCTCTTAAACTAGGATTCAAAGAGCACAAAAACACAACCAGGGTTTGTAAGAACCTTTAGGAACAAATGAGGGTATATCATGAACACATAAACCCTCCTAGGCTAGGCGCACCCCTCTTTTCTCTCCAAAAACCCTACTTAGGGTTTGACATGTCACCCCTATTTTCTTTCTTATGGGTGGCATGGCACTTTGGAAAGAGAGGGGTGAGAGAAAAAGAACTTAAGGGAGGAGAGAGAGAGAGAGAGAGAAAAAGAGGAATATTAGGGGCATGGAGAAAAGAGAAGAGAGAGAGAGGCTTCAATTGTGTGTTTAATGAGGAGGGGGCTCACCTCTTTATATA